ATTGAAAATTAATTAAGAAATAAAATTAATATTTTCTTTTAAATTTAGATCTTGAGGTATTATAGTTCACATCCATCTCAAGATGACGATTGTACCTACCTAGTCAATAACTAATCCTTAGTCCAAGGTACCAGAGGTACTCACCGAGGCTTTCTAGGGGAACTCACCAAAAATAGCACTCATTGAAAGCACCTAAAGGCCACGTTAAAGGCTGTTGTCCAAGTGTAGCAGCCCATCTCATCAACATATTTGTAAGAATCAATTTATAGATTATTTTATTATATTTTAGTGTAATAAATCTTTTAATGCTATTGATTCTATAAATATATAGTTTTTTTATGTTAGTTTTATTGTTTACATATAGCAATAAAGTTACTCAACAGCTTTATGCACTCCTCACTGAATTATAGTTAAACACTTGGCAAAGATGGCTTCGGACCATTGTCCTATCCTTTTAACCTTTTTGAATGTAAACCTGGGTAATCAGATTTGAAGATATATGGATCTGCAATCCAGTATCTTCAGCTTTAGTGAAGAAGATTTGGATGAAGAAAGCATCGGGTGACTATGGGCAAATCCTAAATCTGAAAATGAAAAGAACACTAAAGGCATTGTTTCATTGGAACAAGGAGAAACACAAAAATCTGGTTCTAGCTAAATAAGCTGTTCTAAGAGAAATATTGGAACTTCAGGAAAAGGAATGCAATGAAGGATCTTTATCTGATGAAGACAACTGGCTTCTTAAAGTGAAGGTAACTGAATTCAATTCGAATTTAGCTCAGATCAATACGTGGTGGAGACAACGAGCAAAAGTAAAATGGGCTTCTGAAGGGGATAGCAACACAAAATTCTTTCATTCCTATGCAAGTGCTAGAAGGAACTCTAACTTCATTGGCTCATTCACCAATAATGATGGACTGTTAGTTGAAGATCAACATCAAATTGAAGACTCTTTAGTTAGCTTCTTTGAGAACAAATGGAAAGACAAGATTTGCAAACTGGATGGCTGGCCCAAACCAATCAATCGACCCATAGCTTAAACAAAGAATTCAACATTGAAGAAATGGAAACGGTTTTCAAGCAATCTTGGAACTTTACTGCTCCTGGGATTGATGGAATAGCATACTCTTTCTTTAAGGGGTATTAGGACATTATTAAGGCAGACTTATGGAATGCACTGAATAAATTTTTTAACTATGGAATCATGAATTCGAAGTGGAAAGAAACAATAGTTGTGCTGATCCCCAATGTACAAAATCCTAAAACACCTTCTAACTTAAGACCAATAAGCCTTTGCAATGTGGTTTATAAGGTGGCCGCTAAGATGATTGTCAATAGACTCTTCTATAATTCCTAAAAGTATCTCTGTAGAACAAGCGACATTTTTGAAAGAAAGATACATGCATACCATATCTTGGTAGCACATGAAATTTTTCATAAATTCAGGTTCTCAAAAGCTTCCAAAGGATTAGTTTCATTCAAATTTGATTTGGAGCAGGCTTTTTTTTTTTTGGAGCAGGCATTTGATTCAATAGGTTGGCCTACTTTGGAAAAGGCCTTAGAATATTTTGGTTTTCCTCATACCATTTCCAATCTGATCTTAGAATGTGTAAGAAATCCCAAATTCAAAGTGGTGGTTAATGGAAACTACTCTAGATGGATTGAGGCCAAATGCGGATTTCGGCAAGGGTGTCCCCTATCTCCATTTATGTTCATTTTATGTGCCCAACTTCTATCCAATGCATTCAAACAAGGTGGAGTAGAATTTGGTGTTCGACTTAGTAAAGACAGCACAAAAATATCCCATTTACTATTTGTGGATGACATCATTGTGTTCTCAGAAGCTAAGGTATCCTTGATAAAGAAGATTAAAAGCATCATGGAAGAATTTTGTTCTTGGACTGGACAAAAAATTAATGCCAAAAAATCATGTATCTTGTTTGGAAAAAAGGTAAGAAGGAGAAAGAAAAAAGTGGTATCCCGTATTATGGGTTTGAAAGGAGTCAATGAATTTCATTACCTTGGATCCAAAATAGCTCTAAGAAGACTTGTTGGAGAGGATTTTCAATGCATTATTGAAAAAGCACTTAAAATGACTAACATTTGGGGATCCAAATTAATCTCATTGGTTGGGAGGATCAACTTGGTAAAGTCGGTATTGATGTCCTATTAGATCTTTCATTGTACTCATTCTATGGTCCCTAAAAGTATTCTTGGAGATCTAGATAAAATTTACATAAACTTTATTTGGAACAAATCAAATGGAGATTTCGTTATTCACTACGTGAATTGGAAGACCATGTGTCTACCAGTTGAGCAGGGCGGTAGAGGACTCCATTCTTGCATTGAAAAAGCTGGTTCACTTAGAGCTAAACTTGCTTGGAGATATAATCAAGAAGAAGACTCTCTGTTACATAAAGTCAAGTTCCCAAAATTCGGCTAGCTATATGGAAACAGATTTCACAAGAAATATGGATCGATTGCATGGAAAAATTATTAATGATGGAGGAGCTTTTCTAAAGCCTATAGTTAGATGGGAAGTTGCAAATGACAATCTAAATAATGTAAATAGTGACATTTGGATACTAGGCAAAAGCATAAACAAATGACCTACATTTGTTAACCCCCTTCACATAGATGGAATCACGGTGGACAGATTGGTTTTCCTCATACCATTTCCAATATGATCTTAGAATGTGTAAAAAATCCCAAATTCTCAGTGGTGGTTAATGGAAACTACTCTAGATGGATTGAGGGCAAATGCGGATTCCGGCAAGGGTGTCCCCTATCTCCATTTATGTTCATTTTATGTGCCCAACTTCTATCCAATGCATTCAAACAAGGTGGAGTAGAATTTGGTGTTCGACTTAGTAAAGACAGCACAAAAATATCCCATTTACTATTTGTGGATGACATCATTGTGTTCTCAGAAGCTAAGGTATCCTTGATAAAGAAGATTAAAAGCATCATGGAAGAATTTTGTTCTTGGACTGGACAAAAAATTAATGCCAAAAAGTCATGTATCTTGTTTGGAAAAAAGGTAAGAAGGAGAAAGAAAAAAGTGATATCCCGTATTATGGGTTTGAAAGGAGTCGATGAATTTCATTACCTTGGATCCAAAATAGCTCTAAGAAGACTTGTTGGAGAGGATTTTCAATGCATTATTGAAAAAGCACTTAAAATGACTAACATTTGGGAATCCAAATTAATCTCATTGGTTGGGAGGATCAACTTGGTAAAGTCGGTATTGATGTCCTATTCGATCTTTCATTGTACTCATTCTATGGTCCCTAAAAGTATTCTTGGAGATCTAGATAAAATTTACATAAACTTTATTTGGAACAAATCAAATGGAGATTTCGTTATTCACTACGTGAATTGGAAGACCATGTGTCTACCAGTTGAGCAGGGCAGTAGAGGACTCCATTCTTGCATTGAAAAAGCTGGTCCACTTAGAGATAAACTTGCTTGGAGATATAATCAAGAAGAAGACTCTCTGTTACATAAAGTAAAGTTCCCAAAATTCGGCTAGCTATTGGAAACAGATTTCACAAGAAATCTGGATCGATTGCATGGAAAAATTATTAATGATGGACGAGCTTTTCTAAAGCCTATAGTTAGATGGGAAGTTGCAAATGACAATCTAAATAATGTAAATAGTGACATTTGGATACTAGGCAAAAGCATAAACAAATGACCTACATTTGTTAACCCCCTTCACATAGATGGAATCACGGTGGACGGATTCATTATAGGAGATATCTGGAACATTGCTGAGCTTAGAAAATTTTTTTGAAAAGAACTAGTGGAATTGATTTGTCATATTCACATCTATTCACATCTTCACAATGATACTATGGACTTATTATCTAAATATTTGGGAAAATCAATTTCCAAGCTGGCAGTTGAAGCTACAGTTCAAATATCAAACCAGGACCAGGTTACTTATTAGAAATGGATAAAATAGGCAAAGCTACTCCCTCAGGTTGAAGGTTTTTGGTGGAGATTATTCAATAATGCAATCCCTACTGATTTCCTTTGTTATAGAAGATTGCAAATGCACAATGGTTTTCCAAGGAATTGTAATATGCAAGAAGACGTCGAGCATGTGGTTACTAAATGTAAAAAGCTGGAGTGTATTTTTCAAAAGCTAAAAAAGTGGGGCTTTGAATTTCACATATTCAGTTCAATGGAAGATTGTTTGAATTGGATCTCTCTACAGAATTATTGGACGATCAACTTATTTTGCAATGTAATATACTTTTCATGGAAGGGAAGAAACAAGCTAGTCCACGAAGGTAATGATGATTCTCCTCTTTTCATTGCTTCCGAAGCTCTCAACTATGCTTCAATTTCAGCAAACTATTCTTGCTATAAATCGAGTAAATGGGTTGCTAATCAGCATCATTTGCAGTTGAATAACCTTTGGCATGCCCCTTCACTCGGCTGGATAAAGATAAATGTTGATGCATCATTACTCAATTCATAGAAAGGAGGATTCGGTGGTGTATTCCGGGACTACAAAGGTAGATTCCTGTTGGCTTTTAGCCACTCTTGTGTCCATTGGGATATATCAAGACTTGAACTACATGCCATTCTAGCAATCAAAGGTGTAGTCAAAGATTGGGTGCTTAACTACAAGGGGATCATAGTTGAAAGTGATAACATCAACATCATTAATCTCTTACAAACGGTCTTCTACAAAGGTAGAAATGATTTGGAATCTCCTTTCATATATTTTCATAATGTCATTTTCAACTGTATAGATAGGAAATGCAATAAATTAGCGGATCTGTGCTAATTATGCAACTTTAAGCTCTTTCATTTGGCATGACTTAGTGCTTCATAAGGTTCATCCTTACTTTATTTCCATACTGAAGGAGGAATCTAATGGCATTGGATAGTTCTTTGTTTTAGTTCTTATAAATAAAATTAAATGCAAATAGTTGCATTTTTCTCCTATATATATATATATATATATATATATAGTTTTCTACTACTAGCAGCTCTTTTTTTGAAATTCAAACTAATAGCTGATGGAGGAGAAGAAGAATCATGGATTGTAGTATGAGTGTTATTAACATTTACATTATCATCAGCCACCAAAGTTGTTGATGGTTCAGATTCTGTTTTGTGAGTCCCCAAAACTTCAGCATCATTTAAATGAGGAGCAGCCGTCAAAGTTGTTGAGGGAGAAACTTCAGCTCCTTGAGTAGTTGAATGAGACAAAGCCGATTCAGCCTCCTTTTCCTCCTCCAAAGTTTGTGGAATTTTGAATTTGATAGCTGAGTACGTTGTAGAGAAAGCCGGAACTTGATTCTCAACCACCTTTGGATTAATCAAAGTATCATTTGAAAATTGAACAGCTTTTGTGGAAACCGAAATTTCTGGTTGAAACAGTTTTTTTGAACTTTCAAAATCTGAAATTTGAGAGTCTAGATTTTCAGAAACTACGGTTCCTATTTTACTGGTTTCATTTAACACATCAGCCACCACATTATCCACATCAGCTAATGCATTAAATGAATTAGATAAACAAACTGAATTCCGAGAAGCTTGCTGGTCCAATTTGAAATTCAAATTCTGGTTAACCGCCCCTTCATCTCCTTCCTTGAATCCAGCTGTTTCTTCAAGTTGGCTTTTGGAACCTGCAATTACCACTGGATCGGACATAAGATTGAGCTTGTTTCCATCTGCCATTGTTTGTACTTCATCCTGGACCGTATCTTCTCTTCTACCATCCGTTCCTGATTTTTCTGCTGCTGAAAAAACCTTGGCTTTCAAAAGATTACTTGTTGATTTCTTCTTGTTTTGAACTTAACTTGCATCCAATGACCATAAGGATTTTCAATATGATTTGAGATGGAAGGGATATCTTAAACATTAGGACAAACTGATTCAATATGCCCTATCATCCCACATTTGAAACAAAGTGATGAAAGATTTTTGTATTCAAACTTTTGAAAAAATCTTCCATGCAACCCTTCAACCCATATTCCAGATGGGAGTTTTGAGTTCAAATTAACTCGAATACATGCTCTAGCAAATTCTCTCCTTCCCCACCTAAACATATTACCATCTAAAAGTAATGGAGTCCCAATTCTAGACACAATTTTAGTGATATTGGACTCATCCCAACAGTGTAGTGGAAGGTGAGGAAGACGAACCCGGATCGGAGCCGAAACACCTTCTAATGAATTAGGAGAGAAGTTAGGAGACCATCTGTCATTAGCTCCAACAAGAGAAACCGGTGAGGAAAATTTAGGTAGCTTGTTAGAAACCAAAATTACCTCTTTCCATTTACAAGAATCCGACAATGGCTTGTGTTTAGCCAAAAGTCCTCCCTCTTTGATAACAAGAGGAGTTTCTAAAAGTCGAAGATTGTGCGGGGAGATGCGTTTGAAGGAGAATCTACCTTTTGAATCCAACATAATTGGACTCGCGGTAGATAAAATGGATTTGGTGTCCCGGTCATCCATAGATGACCGGCCACCTACTACCATCTCCAATCTTTGCACCCAAAATCTTCAAACTCTCTTTCCAAATCCTTCCTTGATTTGTGAAGCTTCTCTCTCTTCCCTTTGGCCGTGAGTTTATTGCCAACCTAGTCTCCTCAACTCAAAAGTTTATCTCAAATGACCAAAATAAATTATGAACGGTATCTAATTTAAATCAGACAATAAGACATGCTCATGTAAGTTAACAAAAGTCTTTGGTCATATTTAGATTAGGAAATTCTCCAAACCAACCAAATAACCAATTACGAGAAGAACATGCAAACCTGATCACCTTTTGCAATGGAGCCTCCAAGGGTAACTGAAGACCAACTAACCACCTAATACAAATTATTGATCTTTGCATTTTATGTACTTAAAATGCCAAATGAAAGGAAAGAAAATAATATTAAAGTTGGATACAACAGCATCAGGCATTTTAATAATTCCAAAAGCCTTACTAATGTGAAGGTTATGAGTTCATCTACAAAAACATAATGGATACCTTCCATCGAACCTTTTTTCCTTTAAATAAAACACTTCATAAAGCTTGATAAGACAGTAGAATCATTGCAAGAATCTCTCTCCAATAGCCACTCATCCTTAAGGTGAACTTCAGCATTCCTGCAGAATGTAGAAGTTTGAATACATGACAAAGAAGTTAACAAGCTATTGTACCAAAAACGGATTTATTGATATAAATAACTACCTATGCAAGAACAACGCAGGTACATGGTAAAAGAAAGCTTTGAGATTTTCATAATTTAGTAATGAAATACCTCCTCAAGCTAAGCACTTCAAAATTTCTCCAAAGATAATCAGCATGCTTAGTCAGAGCATCTTGTACATACTGTTTTCCCACTGTTCTGACTGCAGCAGCACCAAGTAAATTCGCAAGAGAACCATGTTTTTTTAATAGCTTCAGGGCTGTCTTGCGACCAAACCCCGGAGCGACACGCTGAATTCCAGGAACACCATCAATTTCATCACCAATGATGCACCCTGTTCACATTAAATTCAAGGTAAACATGACTACCATAATTTTAGCCGACTTTAGCATGATTAGAACAAAAAATCTCACAGTTTGGTTAGGAATTGGGTCACTATGCCATAAAGCTAACATCATAATGAACAAAATGAAATTTCAATGAGAACATTTCAAGATTCCAAAGCAAGCACAAGCAAAGAAGAAGAAACAGCTCAAGCACAAAAATATTTTGTATTTTTTCTTTATCGAGGCTTGTAGCAACATTAGTGATAAATAATAGAGAAAGCGTAATTTTTGTAATATAATCTTTCTTCTAATCCTCTTAATTCTATAAATAAAAGATTTAGAGGAATATTTTGGACTTCACGCCATTTTCACTGTTCAAAAAAATCATTTAGCTCCTTATCCACTCCACATACTCGTTGATTCCATTTCTTTTTCTTCAACTCTAGTTTGCTAAACCTATTAGTATAGTCTAGTGTCGCTAACAAGCAAATTTAAATCCAACTTCCTCTAAGATGCAATGACTGTAGATTGATGCCAACAAATAGAAAAAAATGCATTATGCGAAGACCACCAAAACCAAGAGTCATTACTAAACATGGAGAACCAAAATTTCATCATGGACAGTGATTTGATGGAGAAAGAAGACAGGTTCACAAAAATGATCCAAGACACATTAAGATGAGTTTAGAGAAAAGCCCCACCCCAAGAGAAAGCACCCCCGAAGGATTCTCTAACCGGGCAGCCCACCAAAGACACCTGACATTAGGGCACTAACATCGACATATATTGCTGACCACAATCAAAGTCACACAAGTGATGTGGAATGCAACCCTTCACCTAGATGATTAAGGATGGAGCCAAAGTAGACCAAATCATTGCAATTGCAAATCCACGCAACAAATATAAGATGCCCCACTAGAAATCATATCAGGGAAGATAAGACCCCAGTCGACCATGTAAATTTAGAAAAATATAAGTGTGATAAAGTCTTCCTCATCTACTTGCCCTAATGAACTACAAACAAGACATGACCAGTAAAATTTTTAAAAACATTAGGAGTGACCCAAGGACCCAAAAGGTGGAAAGAAGGCATGACCAATAGCACAACTGGTGTCATAATAACCAATAGAGGGCGCCATGGTTGGTGAACCACTGAGAACGCTAGACCACCCACCTCACGAATAGAGGAAGCACCAAGTGTAACTCGCCAATATAGAGAGGACGAAGCGCACTCCACTCAACAATATCCTACCATTACTCCCTTGTGTATGTCCATTGTTGAGTTGGTAGAGGCCATTCAAAACAAGGATTTCTTCAAGCATCCATTGTTGATGAAGGCGGGTGCCCATGCTAGGAAAACCTCAAAATTTTGAGCATTTTACAAGGACGACTAGCATAATACAAAAGAGTGTAAACAAATCCAAAACCTCATAGAAGACTTAATAAAAGAAAGAAAGCAAAAGAAATTTTACATGGTGGACCCAAGTAGACGAGCATGAAAGAGACCCAAAGAAGAACAAGAGAGCGAGCTAATAATGCTTATGTTATCCACATCATTGGGGTAGTACCTGCTATCCATGGAAGAGATGGAGCAGATACATCTCAGGGGGAGAGTCTTCAGAAATATCATTCATGAGAAGCCAACTCAGTTACTATGCCCCGAATACCAATAGTTGTGGTTTCTCTAAAAACCTTTACTGTAACAAACAAACAAGTGGGAAACCGTTCAAGATGGTGGCCAATTGTGATGCATGCTAGAGACACAAATACTAAGCTACGGCTACATGTGGTCTTTTACAGCCTTTACTTTACATGAGAAGGTGTGGTAAGAGGCGAATATGGACTTCATTGAGGGATTGCCTAAGTTAGAAGAATTCATCAAGATTCTAGTGGTAGGGGACAGACAGAGCAAATACGCTCATTTAATTCCCCTAAGCCACCCATACATCGCAGTGTTAGTGGCAGTCACTTTCATTAGAGATGTGGTCTAGTTGCATGGCATACCCAAGTCCATAGTGTCTGATCGAGATAAGGTCTTTCTGAGTCATTTTTTGTGGGAGCTATTCAAGATTCAAGGGATTATCAAGAAGCAGAGTACCACTTACCACCTCCAAAAAAATGGCCAAACAGAGGTGGTAAATCATAGCATAGAGACTTATCTTCGATGCTTTGTCTCAAATACCCCAAAGATGTGGGTCAAATGGCTATCCTGGCTAGATTACTGGTATAAAAAGTCATATAATACAGCAACCCAGACAACACCATTTAAAATCTTATAGGTATGGCAACACACCAGCATCGTCAGTGTAGCAATACTTGGGACAGAGGAACCAAATCTTGGCATAATTGAAGGGACAGCTACTACGGGCATAGCAAATTATGAAGTAGACAGATGGACACAGGAGCGATATGCAATTTGAAATTAGGGACAGAGTTTTTCTAATGATATGACCTTACAGACAAGGAATCTAGCTCGACAGATGACAAAGAAGCTTTCTTCCCGATACTTTGGCTCCTAAGAGGTCGTGGAGCACATTGGCGTAGACACCTATCACATAAAGTTGCTACCAACTTTAGTGATCCATCAAGTATTTCATGAGTCGCAATTGAGATGAGCCATTGGAGACCATATGCAAAAATACAACCCAACAGGATTCCTATCATCTTGAGCTATGACAGATAAATCCTACGATCTAATTTAGGAATATTTCATATTCTCTTCCAATATTTATTTTAAATAAACTATAAAGAACAAAACTGCTATAAACATCTAGAATACTGTAATAAACTCATTAACAAAATTTCTTTAATTTCCTCAAAATGTATCTATACTATAGTATGTGCCTACATAATAGAAGCTACATAATTGAATAATAAACAAGTCATAACTGTACAAAAATCAAAATAGAGAAATATCTATAAACTTAGATCAAATCCTAAAACTGCTAATAAACAAGCACCTTATGTTTCCGAGATCTTGAAAATCAAAAGAAAAACCACAGTGAGCATAAACAGCTCAGCAAACCACAAAAACCAATCTAAATTTTTAAAATTATTTTATTAAATAGTTTTAAGATAGATAAAAGAAGTTAAATGGAGCAAAATAAATCACTGTACTGAGCAAGAAAATAAGATAATAGTAGTTATTCAAAGATTTGAGTAACAGTACTGTGCAGTTAATTAAAGCTAAAATTCATATCACAGAATAGTTTATATAAATTTTGTATTAATTTTTCTTTATTTTACTCGGACCCAGACAAAAACTCAAAAAATTCTGGCCCTTTATGCTTATAGTACAAGAACATGCCTATAAACAACAAAACATATATTATAATAACTAGCGTATTACTTTTTTAACCACCATAATATATCTTAAAGGCACTAGATTATTCCCTGACACAGATATAATCTCAAAGGATTCTAACCCCTTATATCTCTCAGTAGATATTTGTCAATCATGTAAGCAGGTATTTTACAAAATTATAGCAATTAAAGCACAATTGAGCACATGTCAGAATTACATTATGTTTTATAACGGTAAGCAACAGAAATTCTTACTCAGCAAAATTTCATATTTTCAAAATATAACAAAATTATTAAGAATTATGAAAAACATCATTTCAAGCCTATAATTATTCTACAATATTATTTTTTAGTGTTAAGATTATTTTCTATTCAATTAAAACAACACAAATTCCAAAATATCTAGTATAAAATTTCCAAAAATAGTCATAATCTCACTCTCTATGATATATAAAAAATTACGCAGTGAAAGTTTTTATATATAAAGTTATCCTTATTTTTTGATAACGAAAATATAAATCTAATCGAGAAATTCAAAAAAACTTTGTATTTTTTAAAACTGAGATAGGAATAATATCACTTAGCTCAAAGATCCACTTTTTTCTCAACAAATCTCTCTTTTTCTCTCTTCTATTCAACTGGCCCACAACACTTAAATGAACAGAACAATGGATAATTTTATATTTAAAATGCTCTTAGTGGCCTAGCGATGCGACACTACCATCCGAGTGTTATGGAGCTAGCTCAAAACTAAAAAACACGAGACTATAGTACTACGATATCACTATTTGGCATATTGGATGATTATAGCGCCGAGGCACTTGGACAACCAACGTTTAGGCGCACCAATAGTGACATTTTCATATTTTGTCAAAATTCACACTAAACACATAAGACTCATTGTAGAATACATGAAACTATTTTCAAGCATTAAAATAGTCTCAAAGACATGCAAATTAATTGAAATTATAAATTTCAAAATTTTACCTTTTTCTCAATCAGGTCTGAACCATTTGAACTAAATGCTTAACATGGAGGTGTCACAACTCCCCCCTTAAAAAAATATAATCCTCAACATTTTAATACTCAAGTCTCACATCACATAGACAAATCAGGGTACAACTATCTCATCTCAAACTCTTTTTCCCAAATACCTTCTCTCTCAATTCTATTCTTCCACTGAGTTTCACCATAGGAATTTGTTTACTTCTCAGGTGTTTGACATCATAAGCTAGAACTCTCTGGTTCTTCCTTGTAGTTCAGATTCGGATGTACCTCGATGTCTTCCGCAAATATCCTGTTTACAGACTCAGATATTAATTTTCATAGAAGTGACACGTGAACTACATTATAAATTTCGGACATATGATCTCTATAGGCAGATTTCACAATCCTTTCAATCACTTCAAATGGTCCAATGTACATTTGACTCAACTTTTCTTCATTTTCAAATATGTTAATATTCTTCATCGGCCTGATCTTCACATATATAAAATCTTCTATCTGAAATTTCACAACCCAATACTTAGCTTCAAAATACTATCGTTAGATGTCTTCTAAAACCTTTAATCTATCTTTCGATCAAACGAATCTTTTCAATAGCATCATCATTCAGATGCCTCTCACCCACCTCTATCTAAGATAGAGGGTCTTATATTTCCTATCATATAAAGCTTCATATGGAGTCATACTTGACTAAAAACTATTATTATACGCAAATTAAAAACGAAGAATGTGGTCTTACCAACTGCCACCAAGATCTAGAATACAGAGCCTTAGAAGATCCTGCAATACCTGAATAGTCCTCTCGAACTGTCAGTTTGCCTTCGAATAAAAAGTTATACTTGAATACAATTTTGTACCGAGTCCTTGTTGAATACCTCTCCATAGTCTAGAGGTAAATTGATCATCCCAGTCAAGAACTATAAGCTTTAATATCCCATGTAATCTAATAATCTTAGGCACATATACCTATGCCAACTTGTCCCCTGATTCAGACTGTCGGATTAGAATGAAATATGTAGACTTTGTTAGTTGATCAACTATAATCCAAACAGTGTCATGTACATATCTTAACCTGGGGTAACCAATAGAAAAATCCATGGTAATTTCTTTTCATTTCTACTCTCGAATGAGTAGTAGCCGCAGAAAACCTATAGGTTTTTGATACTCATCCTTCACTAATTGATAGGCTTCATATTTTGATATAAAATCTATCACATTCTTCTTCAATCGAGACCATCAAAACATAATTTTCAAATCACTATATATTTTATTTCTTTCTAGATGGATAGTATAACCTGAATAATGAGCCTCGTACAAAATATCTCGTCTCAGATCTCCAAAAATAGAAACCCACAATCTATTCTTATAGAAGATAATACCGTATTTAGGTACTCATAATTATGATTTCTTATCATATCTAAACAGATCAATCAACTTCGAATACTCTATATATGACTTCTAAGATTCCTGAATTTTTCTTGCAGAGAAGGCAGAATAATCATCTGAGTTAATATATTAAAATCTCAATCAGAAGAAGAAATCGCCTAAAAATGTAATCTCTCCATATCTCACTCATCAAAAGTAACCTGAAAAAAATGAAACCCCAAAAAAATTCTTGCTCAAAGCATCTGCTACAAAATTAGCCTTATCAGACAAATACTGAATAATGAAATTATAGTCTTTAATTAACTCAAGCCTTCTATTTTGCCTCAGATTCAAATCTTTCTGAGTAAAAATGTATTTTAGACTCTAGTGATCAGTGAAAATCTCACACCTAATACCTTACAAATAATGTCGTCAAATCTTCAAAGCAAATATAATAGTAACTAACTCCGGAACATCTGTCGAATAGTTCCTCTTATGTGGCTTCAATTGCTTTGAAGCAAAGGCTATTACTCTACCGTCCTGCATCAGAACACACTCCAACCCTCTCACTGAAGCATTACTGAATACCTAAATTTTTTTTGTATTAGATGGAAAGCCAAAATTGGAGTAAAAGTCAAACAATTCCTCAATCTCTAAAAACTGGCCTCACACTCTGATGTCTAGATAAAAGCTACTAACTTTTGAGTCAATATCATCAAAGATGTAGAAATCTAAGAAAATTCTTTCAAAAACCTTTTATAATACTCGACTATACCCAAGAAACTATGTACCTCAAACACGGTAGTAGGTCTCGGCCACTCAGTAACTGCCTAAAATTTCTGTGGATCAATAGAAATACCATCAACACTCAACACATGACTCAGAAAAGAAATACTCCTTAATTAGAACTCACATTTGGAGAATTTGGCATATATCAGATGCTTTCTTAAAGTCACCAAAATAATTCTCAATTGCTGGCATGATCTTTATTATAAGCAAAACATATCAAACTATCATCTATTAAAACAAACACAAATTGATCAAGAAAATTTCTGAACACTCTATTCATAAGATCCATAAAGACAATCAATGCATTAGTCACTCCAAAAAGCATGACTAAAAACTCATAATTTTCGTACCTCATACTAAAAACTATCTTCATAACATAAAACTCTAACACATTCACCAAATAGTAAACAGATAGTAGATCAATCTTCAAAAATACAAAAGATCCAGTAAGCATATCGAATAAATCAACAATCCACAAAAGAGGATACTTGTTCTTGATAGTGACTTTATTCAACTCCCTGTAATTAATACACATGCAAATTATACTTTCCTTTTTCTTCACAAATAAAATGGGTACTCCCTATGGAGACATAGTAGAATGAACAAATTCCCTATCAACCAACTCTTGAAGACGAATCTTCAATTCATGAAGATGAATTTCAATTCATGAAGCTCCTTAGGTGCCATCATATAAATTTAAATAATGGGTTGTACCTAGAAATACATAAACTCAATATCTCTATCCAGAGGTAAACTGACTAACTCCTTAGGAAACACATCTTGAAAATATCATACTATCAAGACATCAGAAAGAGAACCATAATCTATGTTTCTATCTCGGATTGATATCAAAAATGTCATGCAGTCTTTTTCCATAATCAATCTACTTACACAGTAAAAATAAAACAAGACAAATCACCTCTAACTCCCGGAAATACACAACTTTCATTGCCCAAAAATAATATAACTCACTTTTTTCAAGCAATTAATTTGAATCTAGTATCAACTGCAAAATTGGGTAATGACTAATGCAAAAAATAACATCAAATGCAAAATTGGGTAATAAAATTAAATTGAACTTCTACTTAGTATCAAAAATCTCAATATCATAGAAACATACCTTACTAATCACACCATTTCTAGTCAGCAAAATAACAGACAAAAATAGGCAGTAAAACTGAAAGCAAGTGCAGCAAATTGAACAAATGCTAGAAAATAAATGACTAGCTCCATAATCAAATAGAATACGACATAGCCGATCAGAAATATAAGCCGTTATTATCACAATATCTGGAGCATCACGAGCCTCCAGCTTTGTCAAACTATAAACACATGGTTGAACTGGAGCTGGAGCAATAGTGTCACTAGACTCTCTAATCAATGCCAAACGATCTAGCTACCTGCTATTGAATAAAATCCACTTGCCACTACTAAAAGGACTCTCAACATACATGCAAAGTAGAAATGTCCTCGATTTCCCTTTCGATCTAATAAAACTCATAAATTTGAGCTCATATCGTTGGTCGAATCCTGCCTGTGGAAACTCTGTCATTATGTGTCCAGGAAGCCTTAAAAATTAGCCAGTCATCATGTAACACTGACCGTAGTGACATTTGCCACAACTCTGGCACGTAGGTTCCCTACTAACAAAACTCCTAGAACTAGCAACACTACCCATACTACAAGTTGCCATAAATATAAACTGTCCACCCTTCCTAGACTCTCTAGATAGAAATTTGATGTTCTTCACAAAAAAGCAACTACTAGAAATATCTCCACTAAACCTCTTGAAACTAAAAGTCTACCACTACTGAGTAATCATCAAATCATTCTCTATCAGACGAGCTCTCTCCATAAACTTAGAAAAATAAAAAATATGAAATGGCACCAAAGACTACCTCAGACTATCTTGAAGTTCCCTCAGAAACATGTACCACTTCTCCGCGGGAGTGCAAACCAGTTGGAAAGCATATCAACAAAGGCAGTGAACTCTATCTCGTATTACATAACTGTCCAAAACTCCTGAACCAATCTAAGAAAGGTCTCCTACATCTACATCTACTGTCGTGTAAAAGATGGCATAGGCGATGTGAATGGTGCATACAGGATAGGCGGAGGTTCAGGCTATTTCACACCGGACCGACTAGACTGCTCCAATGGACCAGTCTAACAAAATCTTCCTAGAGTGGCGACTTACAAAAATTGGCAACAAAACACCGGGCGTTAGTTTTATAGCAAGCTGTAAGAACCAGGAAATTAATGAATTGGAGGTAAATTGCAAAGCGTTAGTTTTTGTAGCCATCTTCCCAAATCTACAATTATCGAGCTGAGTGTAAAGCACATTTAATAGCTCCTTTGGGGAGAGGTCATATGGTATTAATGTCTGCAATGAGTCGACGGCTCAATATGGAGAGTTTTACAGCTTCTTGGCCCAACAATTTACTAAACTGGTAGCAAACTGCAAAGCAAGAGAACAACCGCTGGATGAATTGCATCATATCAAGCAGTTAGCTAAGGTTGGCAAACAACTCAACATGAAGAAGAAATATGTTAGACCAGTCTATGGACCGGTCTAGCCAGTTCATACAGGACTTGTTTACGCTAAAAGGGGCGGAAGTCTCCACCTCCTGTAAGAACCACGCAAGACGCCAATTACAAAAGAGTTGTTAGGAATGTTTTTTGAGAGAAATAGTAGGGAATTTTGAATGTAGAATTGTTTAAAGATTTCCTTTTGAATTTTCTGCATTAAATAGATTGTTTTCCTAGGATTAAGACATCATGAATTTGGTTGAATTTGAGATCTCTTAGGTTTAGATTTTTGGCCTCTAAAGGCGTCTAGAGATTTGGGAGGGATAGATCTTCCTCTCGAATAGAGGATCAATTTTATCTTGCTATTTTCTTCCGTTAGTTTGTATTCTTGCAATAAAATTACTATTTTTATCTGATCTTTCATTAGATTTTTAGATATTCCTCGTTGTTTTGGTCAAGATCGTTAGGTTTCACTTGAGATCTTCAAGTGTTTTCTATCAAATTGGCATCAGAGCAGATTTTGGGACCGTTTGTGGACTGTTTTCAGGAAATTCAACGGCTGTTTTTTGCCAGAGGAAGGGATTTTGATTGTTTTTTGGGTCAATAACCTACAAAAATTCGGGTATTG